TATGCTTAAATCTTTAAAACTACGCAACGTAAGGTTTTTTTAATAGATGGAGTGATTCTAGAGGAAGGTTTATATATATAATACAAGGACACCCGTGCGAAGCCGGGGCGAGTAGCTGGTATATTATAAAGAGAGCGGTGATTTGTTATGAGGAGTGCAAACTCTGGAATCACTGCTGAAAAAATTTTTTTTTTTTATTGGTATTTCCCGCCAACGGCAAAGGGATTAAGTCCATACAGCTATTGCCAAGAAATGCATTGTTTGAAAGGTACATTATTCTATAGTGGCTACATTTAATATTAAAATACATCTACAAAACTCAGTTATTAGTACTCGGGAGAATCCGGGGCAAGACACTAGTACAACAATGTTTGTAGTTGTAAACACCAAAGGTGCTCACATGTATATAACGATGTTATACAATTTTATATTTTAATAAAACTGCAATAAAGTTTAAGATAAGTTATTTATTCCAATTGTATGTAAATTTTACATGTAATATAAAGATTGTTAGTAAAAGCAATGCGGTTGAATGATTTTAGTCACACACTTTGTTTTAAATAGTTGTATATAATTATTTATATATGTATATGCTCTTCGTTTTAACTAAATGCTTATGGAGTCCCCTCAATTTCTACTTACAAATAGATCTTATATTTAAGTTCAAAAAGCACTGTTATATTAAATAAATTTATGTCTTGATGCGTATATAAACCCCCTTCTTATATTGAATGTATTGTGTTTATTTCCAAAGAAGAATTGTTAAAGTTTAAATAGATTGTAATCAGCGAAACTATAGTGTTTGCATTCAACGCCAATAGATGGCGCTGTAACAAAATTGAAACTCGCTAATGTTTCGTTTTATTGATTTCTCTTAAGTTATTTGTAATATTAAAGTAAATGTTCCTGTATTTGAAACCGACCAATAAAACCTTATATACACTAGTGTAGTGTTTTGGTCTATAGTACCCTTAGGAACTTGTGCTTTTAACAAGAATATTCATTTGTTTTCACATTCTGTCATGGAGTAATAAGAGAGTAACATAATAAGTCATGCGAAACAATTCTAATTGACATATGTTGGACTTTTACTTTAATTTTTATAATTTGTATTTTAAAACTTCCGAATGTACTTGTTAAGTTGGGCTAAAAAGAACTTGTATCCAGAGCCGTAAAAAATATTAATAAAAAAAAATGTTTTAATTAATATATATTATGTATATTCAACTGTATTTGTGTACATGTATTCACAAGAAAAGATTAATAAGAAATGTTCCTAATAAAATAACTAGGATGTTATCGTTCAACCGATTGCAATAACTAATTGTATAATTCGGAATGTATAAAACAACACATTATATTATATGTTTATACAATCTGTGTTTTATTAATATTTATACTTATATACTAATTCATAAACAATGCATAAGATTGTGCGTAATGACAAAATTATTATTACTACTTGACTCAACGGTCGGAATTTGATCGCCGTTAGAGAAGGTTGTAACTAGCGTTGCCAGACGTCCCATACTTCCCGGGACGTCCCGTCCTTTAGGCTTAGTTTAAAATGTCCTTTTTTTTATTATTAAATCGATCGATCTATGCTAGACAACTTGTATTTTTATAATTTGTCCCGGGTAAAAAACTAAATTCCCATATTTTTTGCCTATTTAAACGTTTGCCCCTTATAGGCTGAAATCTGGCAACTCTAGTCGTAACAGCAGGCAAATTCCACACCGAATATTTGTGGTCTCACACATGCTGATTGTAGCAGAATTAAACAAAATAATGTAAATCCATCAAGTGATGAAATGGACTTCCGCAAAATAACGCCTAATTCGAATAAATTTACGATTAAAAATAATTATTCTTACTTCTGTCTTTGGAAAGAAAATGAAGACTCCATAAAAAATACTTTTTAATAAACTATTATGTATAATATAATAAAAAAAAATAACAATTAGAGAAATGGAGATCATATAACGCAATGCAACAAACACAAACTTGTAATTTTTAAAATCACTAGTATCCTGACGACTTAGGCGTAATGCCGGTTAGTCAGGGAGAGAAACACCTCAATGCCTACAATATTCACAATTACCTATCTCTTATTTGTTTTTATAATAATATAAACACTTTCGCTCCAAAACTCCCGCTGCCTACGTTCAATCATCCGTCATCCACTTGTCAATGTCACATAGATTACTTTGGCTCTGGCCTCTGACGTTCCGTTTCAGGTTACATGATTATTGACTTTACCATTTTTAATTAATGGTGCATCACACGATAGTTAACATAATATACAAACATCTACTTAAACATAAATTTTACAATATTTCATAAGTTTTTAGAAATTATTCTTATAGAAGAATCTAGATTATATGATAAAAAAAATATAACATAACATAGTACATCAGTTGAGATATACGAGTATATTTTTTTAAAGAAGTTTAACAAATAAAAATCCTATATTTCTGATTTGTGACCGAACAAACTAATGAACTAAATAGCATTTCTAAGCAAAACAAAATATTGATTAAATTGAATCTTAAATTTCTATACTAATATAATTAAGCTATGGTCTTTGTTAGGTTGTACGTGCTAATATCAGGAATGAATAGTCCGAATTAAAAAATTCAGCACGTCGCGTTACCTTCGATGATCGCGGGTTCGATTCCTCGCACGGTGCAAACATACATTTGTATTCATGATTATAATTTTTTGTATCGATCTGTATGTTTTCTATGTATATTTCACATATAAAGTATATAAGTATTTTTATCAGTTGTCCCATAACACAAGTTCAGCTTAACTTGAGCCTTTTTTTTATAAAAAAAAAAACCGTAGTATACTAAGATTGTGGCAAAGAAGCATACTGCCCATCTGATGGGAATCGGTTATCGTAGCGTATGGACGCCTGAAACATCTGGAGTGTCACGTGCGCATGGCCAACCAAAGATGACGCTGTGTGAATTGTACCGAGTTATTATTCTTTCAGTATTTGAAATAAATATCTTTATTCATGTAGGTCTATTACAGACTCTTATGATATGTCAAATCTACCGTCAGTTCTTGTCTTTAGGATCATCAATAGAAAAAGAAATATGATTCTTTTGAAAGCAATTGACGTTGAGTGAGCCAGTAATATAAAATCTTTAATTATGTGATTCTATTCTTATGTGCCTTAGATAGACCAGAAGTACATAAATGTATTTTTATTTCCAGTCTTTGTCCCTTAAGGAGGAAAGGTAAATGATTATAACATTTTTTATATCTCAATTCAATTAGACGACCTCGGTGGTCTAGCGGTCTAGCACACCGCTTTACGACCGATGGTCGCGGGTTCGATTCCTCGCACGGCACAAACATTTGTATTCGTGAGCATGATTGTTTTATCGGTCTGGCTGTTTTCTATGTATAATATGTATGTATTTAAATATATATATATCAATGTATATGTATTAGTTATCTAGTACCCATAACACAATTTAGCTAGCTTAACTTGGGTCTAGATGGCGCTGTGTGAATTGTCCTGAGATTATTATTATTATATTGCAATATGCAAGTAAAATAAAAAACTTACTAATATAATTATATTCAGTTATAAATTTATTTCTATTAATTATAAACAACTATACAGTACTGTATGTACAAGTTTGTTCAGTTACAGATAATTCAAGCTAAGCGAGTCGACTCGATCGCCAACTTCAGTCCTATTTTGTAAAAGATAACTTATATAAATCTATATATAATATAGGAGTGTCTGTTTGTAATTTCATATCATTGCATAGTATAAAACAAAGTCGCAGTCGCTGTCTGTCCGTCCATATGTATGCTTAAATCTTTAAAACTACGCAACGGATTTTAAATCGATTTTTTAATAAATAGAGTGATTCAAGAGGAAGGTTTATACATATATAATACATGTACACCCGTGCGAAGTCGGGGCGCGTAGCTAGTGAAAGTATATATGGTACTTATGGTACGGTGCATCAGTAATATATAGAAAACTGAATTCGCGGTTTCAACGGTGTAGAAAGTAACTTTTTTAACAAAACAAATTAATATTTTAATAATAAAGTGGTTTAATTTACTCCTTATAAAATTAGTCATCTGCGAGTGAAAATGTTGCCATAATCGGTCCAGCCGCTTCAGAGAATAGTAGGAACAAATATATATTTTTTTATTGTTTTTTTTTATATAATTATTGTAGGATGGATGGAAAGGATATCTGAACACGTTTACGTATGGTATTTGTTATTTTATTTGATACTAACTGTTATCAGCGATTTCAACCGCGTGGAAAGTAACGTTTTTAATAAAATAAAAATATATTTTAAAAATAAAGTAGCTCAAGTTACTCCTTATAAAATCAGTTATCTGCGAGTGAAAATATCCATCACAATCGGTCCACTGTTTCAAAGATTAGCAGGAACAAATAGACAATTTTAATGTTTTTATTATGTAAGTACCTAATATACTTTTAAAGACTATTAATTTGAAATTACAAACAAATACTTCAATTTGATTTAGCTGTATACTATTGTAGCAACTTACTTTCTACACGTGCCACCTTTAGTCCATGCAATTTCCTAGAACTCTTATCGCACGACACGTAACATTATCAACGTAGCTGCGTGACCTTCAAGCCGTTGCTACTTGCAGCGGCACGTGCACGCGTATACTTTCTACACGTGTCACCTTGAAATTTCCTAGAACTCTTATCGCACGGCACGTGTAACATTAGCAACGTAGCTGCGCGACCTTCACTCCGTTGCTACCTGCAGCGGCACGTGTACGCGAATACTTTCTACACGTGCCACCTTGATATTTCCTAGAACTCTTATCGCACGGCACGTGTAACATTAGCAACGCAGCTGCGCGACCTTCACTCCGTTGCTACCTGCAGCGGCACGTGTACGCGAATACTTTACACGTGCCACCTTGCCACTACCACGTGCCGTGCGATAAGAGTTCTAGGAAATTGCAAGGTAATTTCCTAGAACTCTTATCGCACGGCACGTGTAACATTAGCAACGCAGCAGCGTGACCTGTAGCAGCACGTGTACACGACACGTGTCACTTTGTATCTAAGGCCGGAACATCTCAATAAAAACACTTCTGTCTCTCGCATCTATCATTTCAAGCTCCCAGGTTCTCGAAGAAGTAGGTCCTACACCTAAACCCTAAACGGCGTGTACATACACCCCCGTATCCAGTTGGAACGTTGCAACCGATATCGTATGTGGTTGGCCCGCACTATGCGTGCGTGGGCGGACGAGCGCGGTCTATCGCGCGGTATCGGCGATGTTCGGCCTGCACGCGCTCGAACTCCGCCAGAAGCTTCTCGAAGTCCAACACCGGAGCTTCACGGGTCTGCTTCGCTCGGCCGGGAGTCCTGCGACAAACATGCAACACATTTTGAACAATTAATGAAACTATTTATGAAATAGAAATAGAAATAATCTTCATTCAAATAAACTTAATATAACCACTTTGGAATAGTTACATTTTTTTTTTATCTACCACTCATTCGGAACGCAGACTCATCACAAGAAGAATGAGCAAGAAACTTGTGTGTTGCTCTTTTTGATAGAGATATTGAGTGGATTACATATATAGTAGTAAATATAATTTACTTCGTTCCGATCGCAGTTGCACGTTACATACAAACAGTTACTTAGCAACAATACTTATTTTAAATGTGATGGATTATACTTTTTCTACTTCAATCAATGTGCCTAATACTTTTAAATAAATGTTGTTTTAATAGATTTATATTAACAAGGATTAGGCATGCTACAATCAACATAGAAACCGCTACGTACTCAATCTATGTTCAATCAGATAACATTTTTAGCGCTATGAATGTTAAGTTAGATATTTTCTACAAAATATTATTATCATTTATAAAGTCATCAATTTTATAATGAAACTAGCCGTTCCCGTGACTTCAACCGCGTGGAATTTAACTTTATTTTTCTAAAATAAAAGTAGCCTAAGTTACTCCTTATTACATCAGCTACCTGCCAATAAAAGTCCCGTCAAAATAGGTCCAGCCATTTCTGAGATTAATAGAAACAAACAGGCAGACAAAAATGGCAAAAAATGTTATTTTGGTGAATGTACCGTATTTATATTCATATGCAGGTAGTAAAAAACGGTTATTTAAATATTACAAACAGTCCGTACTGTGCGGCGTGCGCGTGTGGGTGTGGGTGCGGTGCGCAGTGGAGGCGCGTGCGGAGCGCGTGGAAGGCGTCGGTCTGCGGCAGCAGCATCAGCAGCCCGTACAGCGCCCCGCGCAGACTCACGCCGCCCTCCTCCAGCAGCTCCAGCCGCAGGTCTGGACACCCACGGCCACGTCGGCCCAATTCAACATATCACAATACATTCTATTTTGTTATGGTCACACTACCACAGCCGAACAGTCAAAAGTAGGCCTGCGAGCTGTGTCCGAGCTCTTAACATCGGTCCACGACATAGACCTCTAGCGAGGCACGATCATCAGCCCTTCTCGTTGGACCATTACACCTACACCTAGGACGTCCTACGTTATATCTACCCATTCACAATCTCTAATCTAGAACGCGTCTGCTCCAGCGAGCGTGGATTCTATAAGTGTATTATTCAATAACGGTCGGAATATGATCACTACTAGAGAAGATCTTAAAGCTTCCAGAAATGGCGGTCAAGTTTCCACACCGAATATTTGTGGTCTCACACATGCTAATAATAGCAATATGAAAACATAAATTAGGTCATAAAATATACATTTGCAAAATAACACCTATATGACGGTCTCGGAGGTCCAGCGGTCTAGTACACAGCTTTAATTCCGATGGTCGAGGTTCGATTCATCAAACGATGCAAATATTTGTATTCATAAGTATTATTGTCTGTATCGGTCTGGGTGTTTTCTATATATATTATGTATGTATTTACAAAAAATAAATCTCTAAATATTTATATCAAATTCAAATATCATTTATTCGTGTTCATTTTAGTCGCTTATTAAAAACATTTATTTTATATTATATTTTTTTCACTACTGTCCAGTTCAGTAGATACACAGATCCAATTGAGAAGAACTGGCAAGAAACTCAATTGTAATTCAATTGAGTTTCTTGCCAGTTTTGAACCAGTTGTCTAGTACCCATAACACAAGCTCTGTTTACCGTGTGACTAGATGGCGCTGTGTTAATTGTCCAGGGCCATTTATTTATTTATATCAGTTGTCTAGTACCCATAACACAAGCTCTGCTTACCGTGGTACTAGATGGCGCTGTGTTAATTGTCCAGGGTTATTTATTTATTTATATCAGTTGTCTAGTACCCATAACACAAGCTCTGCTTACCGTGGGACTAGATGGCGCTGTGTTAATTGTCCAGGGCTATTTATTTATTTATATCAGTTGTCTAGTACCCATAACAAAAGCTCTGCTTACCGTGGAACTAGATGGCGCTGTGTTAATTGTCCAATGCTATTTATTTATTTATATCAGTTGTCTAGTACCCATAACACAAGCTCTGCTTACCGTGGGACTAGATGGCGCTGTGTTAATTGTCCAGGGCTATTTATTTATTTATATCAGTTGTCTAGTACCCATAACACAAGCTCTGCTTACCGTGGGACTAGATGGCGCTGTGTTAATTGTCCAGGGTTTGTTACTAATATGATGGTAGATGGTACTCACATGCGAATATCGGCGACTCAATCAGTTGCACCAACTTGTCTACTTCTGTCAAGAAATCCACTGTGATCTCCAGATCACCACTATGTTTATATTAAAGAAACTTTATAACAATAATTTTCTTTATGCAATAAATTATTATTTATACTTTCATATATTATACATTTAGGGAAAAGCTATTAATTTTAAATTACAAAACAGACATTTCAATTTTATTTATCACTGGCTGTACCCGCGACTTCGTTTCCGTGGTTATAAAGTGCTTCGCTCCTATTGGTCGTAGAGTAATGTTATATAGCTTAAAGCCTTCCTCGACAAATGGACTATCCAACACAAAAATAATTTTTCAATTCGAACCAGTAGTTTCTGAGATTAGCGCGTTCAAACAAACAAACTCTTCAGCTTTATAATATTAGTATACATAATATTAATACTTGAAACAAAAACTTTGTACTCCTTTTGACGAAAATTGCGCGGATTCAGGAGTATGAAATTTCGCATAATTATAGTTCATATAGAAGAGGAGTGTAGATGCAATTTTTTTTTTAATTATGCATACGTTATCATTAAATTGTCAATAAATAAAATATCACAAACACTATTATTATACTACACGAATGATAACAAAACGTCAATGTCAATATTGTTAGTTGTCAAATCAGCGAATCGAGGTTTGTTTCTGTGCTGTTTTTATCAAAGTAATCTATATTTTATATAGTAGCTGCACCCGCGACTTCGTCCACGTGGAATTTAACTTTAATTTTCTAAAATAAAAGTTAGCCTAAGTTACTTCTTATTACATCAGCTACCTGCCAATAAAAGTCCCGTCAAAATCGGTCCAGCCATTTCAGAGAATTGCCGGAACAAACAGACAGACAGACAGACAAAAATTGTAATAAAAAATATTTCGGTGTATGTACAGTATTTATATTCATATGCATGTAGTAAAAATGATTATTTCAATATTACAAATAGACACTCTAATTATATTTATATGTATAGTAGACAAAGAACCTTAATAATGTCTTATAATTCAAATTAATTATGGTCTATTTTTGACCACTAGGTGACCACTAGTATATATCAAATTATTAAAAACAGCATATAAAAGGATACAATGTGGATATGAGCGTGTTGCAGTGCGCGTAGTTGTGAGTGAGCAGACAGAGCGCCAGCAGCGACACCGGGCTGTGGCACCAGCATGCGTACAGACCCTCGAACAGAGAGTGCGTCGCCTGCCGACACACCACACTCACAGTCACACAAACACAAACACACACACACAGAGCACCAGCAGCGACACCGGGCTGTGGCACCAGCATGCGTACAGACCCTCGAACAGAGAGTGCGTCGCCTGCCGACACACCACACTCACAGTCACACAAACACAAACACACACACACAGAGCACCAGCAGCGACACCGGGCTGTGGCACCAGCACGCGTACAGACCCTCGAACAGAGAGTGCGTCGCCTGCCGACACACCACACTCACAGTCACACAAACACAAACACACACACACAGAGCACCAGCAGCGACACCGGGCTGTGGCACCAGCATGCGTACAGACCCTCGAACAGAGAGTGCGTCGCCTGCCGACACATCACACTCACAGTCACACAAACACAAACACACACATAGAGCGTACAAACTCTCGAACAAAGTCACACACTCCCTCGCAGTCACACAGTTCAGTCCAGTTTGCAGTATTACTATACGTACGGGCTTGTCGAACTTGCGCAGCTGCAGCCGCAGGTCGTAGAGCTCGGCGGCGGTGAGCAGGATGGTGTTGAGCACGTCCACCATGGTGGCCACGAACCTCAGGTTCTTCTCCTGCAGCAGACACCGCGACAGCGCCCGGTAGATGTCCTCCGCGTTTAGCAGCACGCACAACTGTCTGAGACAACCCACACTCTAATATCACAACCATACATGTCTCAGACCTCACTGTATCAATGTATATTGTTTTAAAGTTGATACTGGGGCAAAGTGGTTCGCCTTAAGACTCCAACCTTCACTTCCTAGGAGGGCGCTAATATCCAGTATCCGTCTCGGATTAAAATAAATAAAAACATCTCATTCACCAACACAGTAAATGTATCAATTCGGTAGAACCGATGACACTTTGGAAGATCCAACCTATATAAGACGACCATACACGCCAGTCTTTGTGGAAAGATATAGATCAAGCACTACTTACATATAGCCGGATTGGCGTGTATTTCCTGAATGGAAGAGTAAGGGGTCCATTCTACCTTGTTGCGATTCACACGTCTGCTTTCCACTTTAGATTTGCTGTCCACTTTAGGTTACACAACTTGATGAAAGGTTTATAAGGTTCTTTTGCTTATATTACTCAAATTTTGAAATAGAAATAGAAATAATCTTCATTCAAATAAACTCATTACAAGCACTTCTGAATAGTCATATTTTGATTCTACCACTCATTCGGAATGCAGATTCATCACAAGAAGAATGAGCGAGAAACTTGTGTGTTGCTTTTTAATAGATTTTTTTTTATATAAATAATTACAGTATAACAAGTAAGAGGCATGCGATAGTCAACATAGAAGTCGCTACGCACTCATTATTAGTGTAATCAGATAATATTGTCAGTGCTATGGATTTAAAGTTTTTCTATAAAAACATTATTATCGTTAACGAATTCTTCAATTTTATAGTAAGCTTTTTTGCAAAGGTATTGTTTTATTTGACATTTAAATCTTTTTTCTGGCAGATTTATAACAGACTCTGGATTACTAACTTTAGCCAAACGACATTTAGGTAATATAATTTTAAAGGTAAGTTGCAACCGCCGTTCGTATCGAACCGAGAGACAGTACTTCTGATCACGAAAGCTATCACGTGATCAGAACTACGTACGTGATCGTTGATCAGTCCATTACTGTTACGATTGGCTATAGTACGACAAGTCTAGAAACTGGCCAGTGATTGGTCACTTCAATACACTTAGACTGCGTGTGTGATCGAATAATTATCATCATTACCTAGTATAAAACAAAGTCGCTGTCGCTGTCTGTCCCTATATATTCTTAAATCTTTAAAACTACGCTACGGATTTTGAAGGGGGTTTTTTTAATAGATATCCCATCAAAAACATAAATGTGAAATGATAGCCGAGTTTAATATTATGATATATGCCTTGATTGTTGACTTCTACGACAAAAGAGATGAGATCTAAATGGGTGCCAAGTTCAATGGTCTGTCCTGAAATGTATTTATAACAATATAAAATATCATTTCTTCTTATAACTTAGGATAATATACTGTAGCCTAGTTGATCAGTGATAAAAATTACGATGTAGTATAGTTGATCAGTGATAAAAAATGACGATTATTGGACATTAATATCTAAATAACCGTTTGAGATATGTTTATGAAATTTAGAACACATATTTATCTCGCAAGTCTCAATATATGAACCAAATTTGACAGGTTTGTGTGAAAGAGTTTTGGAGTTATGAGGGGGTCAAAAGTGGCTCCAAATGGTTCGTGTAAATATACACACGGTGCTGCTTGCCAGTTTACTTGAAACTCGGCTTGACACGCTACCGCGTGTCTAGATGGTAATTCAAGAGGAAGGTTTATGTATATAATACACTAGCTGTTCCCGCGACTTCGTCCGCGTGGAATTTAACTTTATTTTTTTAAAATAAAAGTAGCCTAAAGAACTAAAAATTATTTTGGTCGTCTTAATTTATTAGTTCCATTAGGTACTGATATGTTCAAACTAATATACTTACATCCTACATCATCCCTTATTTTATCCTCGTGGGGGTTGAATTTATCAAAATCCTATTTAAGCGAACGTCTTCATCATAGTAGCTCCAATCTTTAATTTCAGTTCAATCAGTTGAACATCTAAGAGGATTTATACAAACTTTCATCCCCTATTTTATCCCCTTAGGAGTGGAATTAATCAAAATCCTTTCTTAGCGGATGCCTACGTCATAACATCTACCTGCATGCCAAATTTCAGCCCGATCCGTCCAGTGGTTTGGGCTGTGCGTTAATAGATCACTATGTCAGTCACCTTTGAGTTATATATATTTAGATGTACACCCGGGCGAAGCCTGGGCAAGTGGCTAGTTAATTAATAAAAATGATGACGAAACAGTATCTTTAAAAATTGCCTTCAATTTGCAAGTCACAAATTATTTACGACAGAAAAAGGGGCGGGAGGGTGATATACGGGCAGTGGCGGGGCCAACATGGAGGAGCCTGGAGTCTTTTGGAGGAGGCCTATGTCTTGGGCTAAGCGGATGATCGTCAGCACACAGGCTAAATATATAAATAAATAAATAATAATAATAATAAGTTAGATTCTGCCCGTATTGTACGCCGGTTTCTCTCCCTGGGGCCCTGAACCCCGGCCGACTGTGCTTCTGCCGGGGGTATGTTGCCATCTCCTCTCCTTAAGAGGGGAGATGAGAATATTTAAAAAAAAATAATAATAATACATGTGACTTGGTGATATAAGCCCGTCCTTGTGATCACTATAAAATAACCGATATTTATATTGTGAAACGGTGGAAATAATAATAATAATTCTTTTATTGGAACTAAAAACATAAAAATATATAATATTTTACGATTACAGCCACATTAGTAAGTAATACTGTGTTGTGGCCGTCAACGCCCACCTCCCTAAGACCCTTAAGAGGCCTTAGCGTACCAGTAGCAAATACAATAAATTTATATAATAAAAAGCAAAGCAAAGGCATGCATGATTACGTTTACAACATAACTTTTAGGAAGACAAATAAGTTAAATTAAATACAAGATTCTTAGCCAATATTCACTAATTATAATAAATTGCCCGATAATGTTTTGAATTTAAATGAAGGGAAATTTAAGATACATGTAAAAAATACACTTTGCGCTAAAGCTTATTACAAAATAAACGACTACTTGAATGACTACAATGTGTGGACTTAATTACAATTTTAACTTTTGTTATGAGGTATATAACTTTCTCATTGACATAGATAATATAATAAAGACTAAAGAAACTTATCCTAAATTTAGTAATGACATATTGTAATTTAAATAATGTAAATTAAATATTGTAATGGGTGAAAACTGTGATTGGTACAGTTTATGCTGTAAATAATATAAATGACGTAGTGGAGTAACTTGAAACAGTCATGCTCGCTATAAAGTTCAAACTTGTGGCGGCGTGGTGCACCAGAAAGTCGATGTGCTAATCTAATATGGTTAATGTGCAATGATGGCTGGCTCATCCGTCATACTCGTGTACGGGTGCTGCTTGTGGGGACTGGTCTGTTCAGGTTGCGAACACTGATTAGATTTTTTGATTTTTTTTGATTTTTTTTATATAGCATATACTGGTGGTCACTCTATTCTCCCAAATTTGAATTTAAATGAGTATTATTGTAAATATGTACAACATTAAAAAAAAAATGCGAGCTGAGTTTCTTGTCAGTTCTTCTCATCTCGAAATCATTCTGAACTGACGGTAGATTTGACATATCATAAGAGTCTGTAATAGACCTACATGAATAAAGATATTTTGAATTTGAATTTGAATTTGAATTTGAATTTGAATTTGAATTAGGTTTCCTGTATGTAAAAATATTACAATGAAAAAACTTAAGACGAACGAACGAACGCTGAATGTAATTGAATGTTTATAAATAAATAAATAAATAATTATTTACATATGAAATTGAATGAATATTGAATGGATAACCTTCTCCAAATATAAATTAGGTGTAAATTTAATGTAAAAATATTACAATGAAAAAACTTAAGACGAACGAACGAACGCTAAATGTAATTGAATGTTTATAAATAAATAAATCATTATTTACATATGAAATTTGATGAATATTGAATAAAGAACCTTCTCCAAATATAAATTAGGTGTAAATTGACATACCTTATAATGAAAGCACCTCTATCTTCTAATAAGTTGTCGTCCGCCGCAAGTAGCCTCAGCAGGGCCTGCAGGAACTTGTAGTAGTACGGACTAGACTCCAAATCACCTGAAACGTGAGTTCATATCATGAACAAGTCTGAATAATTCACACAGCGCCATTCACTTCTAAACTACTTATTATTTATTTATTAACACTTTATTGCACCAGAAAGACAATAATAATATAATTTTTAATATATAATTTCAGGACAATTCACACAGCGCCATCTAGACCCGAGTTAAGCTAGCTAAAGCTTGTGTTATGGGTACTAGACAACTGATACATATACATAGATATTTTTGTAAATACATACATATAGAAAATACCCATACCAATGGATGTAAAGGGAGGGGACGCCCTAAGAAAAGATGGATGGATTGTGTGAAAGATGATATGAATAAAAGAAGAGTATGCTCAGATATGACGGCCGATAGAGAGCAGTGGAAGGGAGTGACATACTGCGCCGACCACAAATAATGGGACAAAGGCAAGGCAATGAATGACCCATAACAATACAAACAATCATACTCATGAATACAAATATTTGTACCGTGCGAGGAATCGAACCTGCGACGAATCGTAAAGCGGTGTGCTATACCGCTAGACCACCGAGGTCGTCATAATTATACAAAGAGCAAACAAATAATAAGTAATAAGGTACAAAAGGCGGTCTTATCGCTTAAGCAATCTCTTCCAGACAACTTTTGGGTAGAGGAGAGAAGACAGAAAGTGGTAGATAGCGCAAGAATGTACTAGAGAAATAAAAAAGGCATAGGAATCCTTACTCATCATTCATCATTGCCTTGCCTTTATCCCATTATTTGTGGTCGGCGCATTATGTCATTCTCTTCCACTGCTCTCTATCGGCCGTCATATCTGAACATACTCTTCTTTTATTCATATCATCTTTCACACAATCCATCCATCTTTTCTTAGGGCGTCCCCTCCCTTTACATCCACATTCATAGGAATCCTTACTAATATTATAAATGCGAAAGTAACTCTGTCTGTCTGTCTCGCTTTCACGCCTAAACCACTGAACCGATTTAAATGGAATTTGGTACACAGATAGTCTAGACCCTGACTAAGGACATAGGCTACTTTTAATCTGAAAAAAGAGTTGCAAGGGGTTGAAAGGGAATATGAAAGGTTCTATGGAAGTATCGTCATTTTACGGGGACGAAGTCGCAGGCGCAGCTAGTACTAAATAATAATAATTTACATATACTATTGTTTGTTACTGGATAACAATATGCTTGAAACGGTTTTCTTTTCGGACTACCCCAATTCTGTTGGCCGCAGCTGGCCTTTACAGCTTCACCGGACGATAGGGGGCAAGTGATGGCACTCCAAACCAATGAAGGACTTATGGAGCGATAACTGTGTATGTATGTGTACCCGGACAGGAGCAGATCTCCGCAAGAACAGCGAGCGCGCGTCGCACCACGTCGTCGGCGGCGTCCGTGAGGCTGCTCACCACGCTCATGAACACCACATTCGTCTCCTCCAACATCTGCGCACACATCGAATATACTACATGAATGGTCGTTAAGACAATATCCTGAACTCTAGTTAAATTATTTTTACAAAAGTCTGAATCTTTCGAGTCATTATCAACATTCCACCACTCCAGGGAGAACTATCACGTTCAGCTCTATCACCACGCTACTCTCAGATCCGTCATGTGTGTGGTGGTATCTCCATCTGCAGATACCACCACAATAACTGCAGATAACACTATGGTGTTATAATCATTTCACTATATATATTCACTATATACTGTATATATTTGTATTATAATCATTTCACATCATTACCTCTTTTCATGACCAACATCAACCACGACAACAAAACTAGGTGTAGTTACAACAAACAGTAGTGTTGTCACCTGTGTGGGCAGCTTGTTGTAGAGGTGCAGCATCCAGTCGAGCGCGGCCACCTTGGTGTGCACGGAGCTGTGGTGCAGCATCTGCGTCACCACGCCCACCACGCCCGCCAACTGCAGCTGTCCGCCGCCCCCGCACTCACCACCCTCACCACCGCCCGCCCCGACGTCCGCGCCTTCAGACCCCACCAGCTTCGTCAGCTGGAAGTTCACTGTGGCTGCCGTTTCTCTAATGCCTTGGTTATCCGTTAAGGATCATAAACTACGTAATATTGCGTAGTAAATATTGCGTTTAGGACTTAGTATATGTCGTAAATATAATGTTATCCACATATATATTTACATTATAATTACCCACGACAGTGTACAAACAAAGGTAATATATATATTTTTTTATACCATCAGGTGAGCCGCATGCTCGTTTGGGGTAAGTGATTACCGCCGCCGATGAGCACCCGCAATACCAGGGGCAATTGCAAGTACCTTATCGATCTCTTAAAAAGGAATAAGATTTTATCTTGAATGTTTCAATATCGTATCGGTTCGGAAATACCATTGCTGGAAGGTTCCACAATGTGGTTGTGCGTGGCAAATAGTTTCTAGAAAACCGGACTGTAGAGAACCGCCATTCATCCGGATGATCAGGATGGTATTTAAGTTTCTGGCGGATGGTACGGTGGTGATCCATCCAGTTAAGTCCATTTCATAACTCATGGTTTTACATTATTTTATTAATTTTTATATTTTTTTTTTGTATTGTAGTCCCAATAGTCCCAATACGAGGGAACCTAAATAGCTTAAGTAAATATAGTACATATTTACTTAAGCTATTTAGGTTCCCTCGGTTTTTTTTTGTGAATGATAGTGGAATGGTACACCCTCCTGCGCTAACGGTTTACGCTGGCGGGGCACCAGTGGAGGATGACAATATGAGCATGAGGTCAGGTCAGTTAGCCCATCGTGGTAAGTTCGCCATGAATTTATCACGATGATTTGCAGGGGGAACCGCATGGAGGTCAACCTGACATAGAGATTCCCTCGGTTCCGCTTATGAACACACAACAAAACCAGGGGATTTGTAGGTATGTTTGTAAAGGATACTCTTCCGTGGCTCGTCGGAGTATGCGAGGCAGGGAAGCACTGCTGCGAGCACGCCCGACGCGTACGGCAGCATGTCGCCGCCCGCCAGCTCCACGAACTCCTTGATCCACGTTATGGCCGTCAGCTGCAACACACCACACCGACTGGTTAGACTGAAAGGGACTCCATCTCCACTCACTCCCTCCCCTCTCGAAAACAATAGTAATAATAATAACCCACAGTGGAAGGAGTTTTTTTTGTGGATGATAATGGAATGGTGCTCCCGCCTGCGCTAACGATTTACGCTGGCGGGGCACCAGTAGGAGGATGATAAGATGAATATGAGGTCAGGTCAGTTAACCCGTCGTGACAAATTCACTAGGAATTTATAACGATGGTTTCCAGGAGGAACCGCGTGGAGGTCGACCTAACATGGTACATTGCTAGCAATGGGGTTACTAGCTCCCATTACTAACTATCCCTTTCCCCCCACAGTGGAAGGGTATTGTTAGTACTGTGGTAACAACTACCCACCGATAAATTCGAGGGGGGCCAGGGGACTGGGGCGGTCCAGACATAACCCAGGACAGTGAATTGTCCCAGGTATTATTAAACTTAATTTGTCACAATGGACTATGTGACAGTATTCAATTCTTCTATCACCAGCGTTCTTGTAACTTTATATGTCTTGTTTACTTTTGATAAAACAGAACCGTTGGATATTAATTTAAATTCATAAATAAGTAACAGCAATCCTCAGCCACTTTCGGTTATATATTCATTTGTTAAATCACATTTACTGAGCAAGGCCTATTACTCACTAAACGATTACTTGAATGACGAGCGTGCATGGCAATAGTTTTTATGTTCGGGATTTTCATTTAATGTTAGACATAGACACCTATATAAATACCTATGCATTGCAAATAAACTGGATTTAAAAAAAAAAGTAATGCAATTGAGTTTCTTGCCAGTTCTTCTCAATTGGATCTATATACCGAACTGGACGGTAGGGAAAAAAAATTATAATGTAAAAACTTGACCCTCATAAACGGTGCTACAATGTCCTACATAAATAAATGATTTTTGAATTTATATAAAAAAAAAACAAAAACACTACTAATAAAACCCGTTCGATCGATCTCCCGTCTAATTCGAAGGGAGATCGAAAGTAAGACGACCTAATCCTAGCGGTGCCCCAGGCTAAAGTCGACAGACAGGCAGGAATTGTCCTGCAGTCGTCCCATAAATTCTTCCTTGATTTAGAGTGCCATCTGCACTCGGCCTCTATCCTACAGTGAAGCTGTAAAGACCAGCTGCGGCAAACAGCATTAGAATAGTTCGAAAAAGATGCTGATAATATTAGTGTAGGTATGGTCAGTTCTTCTCAACTGAATCTGTATACTGAACTGGACGGTAGGGAAAAAATTAATACAATAACTTGACGTTCATAAGCGACTAAAATGTCCTACACGAATAAATATTTTTTAATTTGATCTAACTTGTAACAACTCCTCCTGCGACTGCGCGTGCGTGATGAGGATGTTGATCATGGCCTGGAAGTCCACTCTAGATGGGTCCTTCTTTATACTTCTTAGAAATTCACTCAGCTGCACGTCGCACCTGCAATTTAGTGATTTAGCAGTAATAAATGTTCTCTATTCACAATATGAGAAAATACTCCACTGATGGTCAATGCATTTTCGGCTAGATCTATGTTATAACACCTTCTTGAATAGAATAGAAATATCTTAACAAGGATTAGGCGTGCTACAGTCAACATGGAAACTGTTAGGCACTCAATGTTTATGCAATCAGATTTTGTCAGAGCTATGAATTTTAAGTTAGATTTTTTTTAAAAAAACATTATTACCATTTATAAACTCCTCAATTTTATAATAAGCTTTATACAAAGAAAGTCTTTTATAAGACATTTGAATCTTTTTCCTGAAAACTGCTGCTTTATTGCTGAATTAAAAATAAAATCCACTGTGTAATTTAAAAGATATAAGATACTAGCTGTCCCAGCAAACGTTGTTTTGCCATATAAATTTATAACGCTATAAAAAAATAGGGGTTGATGATAGAAGGGTGAAAATTTAGGATTGTATGTATTTTTGTATGTTGTATCATAAAAAAATAGAAACTAAACATTTTGTCTAAAAAATAAAAAAATAAATTTAAGGTTGGACTACCCCTAACATTTAGGGGGATGAAAAATAGATGTTGGCCGATTCTCAGACCTACTCAATATGCTCACAAAACTTCATGAGAATCGGTCAAGCCGTTTCGGAGGAGTATGGGAACGAAAACTGTGACACGAGAATTTTATATATAATATAAAGACAGTAGTGGAGATTTTTTTAAATACTATGTAAAGATGCAAAGTTAATCAATTGACCATCAGTTGCAAGCAGCACTCACATTCTCCTGATCTCTGAGTTGGCATCGTCCAGCATCTTAAACAGTCCATCCAGCAGTTCCGGTAGGTGGACTATGAGGTCTATATCTGGCACGGCGTCCAGCACCGACACCCACGACACTATGAACTGCCGACCGAACGCGTTCCGCGTGTAGATACGCTCCCGCAGCATCGGCACGAACGCCGCCAAATCGAATGATGATGACTCTGTCACTATATCCTGAAGTAACATTAAAGTTTAATATTAGCGTACACTACTACAGACTGCTCACATATTACGCCGCCCCCAAATACATGGGATGAGAAAGAAACCGATGATGATGATGATGATGATGGTGATGATGATGATGTTTATGATGATGATTATGATGATGATGGTGATGATGATTAGAGTACCCTGATATTAGTTATTTTTTTTTATAAAAACTGTAATCTTACTTCTATCTTGCCTTAATAACTTATTTTAACTATTACAATGTTTTTCACACTTTTCCTAAATAACATTACATAGTATAAAACAAAGTCGCTGTCGCTGTCTGTCCCTATGCTTAAATCTTTAAAACTATGCAACGGATTTTAAAGCGGTTTTTTTTATTGGGTGATTCAAGTGGAAGGTTTATATATATAATATATGTCCACCTGTGCGAAGCTGGGGCGAGTAACTAGTTAAGAATATAACTTAAAAAATAAGCATATAACAGTTGTTTTGCAAAAGTAGGTTTATGGTGGGAATAGCATTTTTATTTATTCTTCTTCTTCATCGTTCCCTCACTGCTGAGGATCGCGACTCTACAGTATCTTGTCGACCAGCTGTCGCCATCGGTTGCGCTCAGACGCCTGGTGTAATGCGACGCTGACAGTAATGTTTAACTGACGGGATACCTGGTCTGACCATCGAGTGGGACTTCGGCCTCGAGGTCTTTTACCCTCTATCTTGCCTGTTACCATTAGTCTCTCCATATTGTCTACACTCCTCCGCGCAACGTGTCCGAAGTATCGCGCAATGCGTTGCAGACAAGTAGAAGACAGATGCCGTGACTCTTCCAATTTGAGCTCTTTTAGTATAGAGACATTTGTACAGAGGGCTGTCCACGGTATCCTCAATAGTCGACGCCAGCACCACCACCACCACAATTTTTATTTATAAGGGGACAATATTAATATTGTCATCATATAATTCGTATTATGGCTATATCGTTGATCAACGTAAAATGGATGTGGTTAATTTATATATGATTATGACAGGCTCATTTTCGATTCCTCGCATGGTACTAATATTTGTATTCATGAGTATAATTGTTTGTATCAGATGTTTTCTAAGTACATAGGTTATATACATAGATTTTTTTTAAATACACATACATAATATACATTATGAATTTGTATTTAAAAAAAATCTAGTACATAACACAAGCTGATTAGCTTGGGACTAGATGTCCCTGTGTGAATTGTCCTGAGATATTTATTATTATATACTTTCATCCTTAACAAACTATAGAGTAATACTTTAAGTAAAATGCTGTACCTTAACTAATCTATCCAAAAGTTCAGCTCCTTGCTTAACCTGTGGCTCAGGGTCGGCAGCAAGCCTTGCCAGTGCATCAAATACAATTGGGAACTGAGGTAGGGCTGCTCCACGGGCGATCTTCAGAACATTGAATAGAGCTTCAGCTGCTTGATACCGCACCCTGGACTCACTCTCACTGAAGCAGGCCACTATTGGATGGGTCAGCTCTGGTAAGTAATCTACACAGCCCTGTAAATAAAATTATGTTCTAATTATTTACACATTATATTCAAGTTGCTCAAAATCTATACATATAAATAAAATTGGAGTGTCTGTTTGTAATATGGAAATAACTGTTTTTTACTACATGCATATGAATATAAATATGCATGTAGTAAAAAACAGCATAGCATAGCATATAAACATTTTTTACAATTTTTAGCTGTCTGTTTGTTCTGGCTAATCTCTGAAATGGATGGACCGATTTTGACGGGACTTTTATTGGCAGGTAGCTGATATAATAAGGAGTAACTTAGGCTACTTTTATTATAGGAAAAATCTTTTAATTAGAAAAATAAATTGGCTTTTTTATTTTATTATATTTATATTTGTAATCAAAGTCAAATCTAAGTTTTATATATATAATTTACATCTACAAATAAAAGGAAGGGTGTTAAAACCTGTTTAATTAATCAATATTTATTATGCCCAGCTAGTTATGAAGAACAATTCATTTATTATAGTAATAATTCATATATTGTTACACAATTGATCTACACATAGCAATAGTCCTCATTATTTGAGGGTAACGTACCTTTCCCAGTCCAACAGCAACCGAAGAAAGTCCCATTAAAGCACCGTTTTTTACATTAGGGTTGGTTGAAGACATCAAGTCCTGACCGAGCACCCGAATTAACCGCTTAATTTGACTCGTGTTATTCGCATCACTGAAATCTTTTACCATCCTAAAAACATTGTCAATAGTATAAATTTATTGTATCACAAAACTCAGCTGATCTGGAATAAATATAAAGGACAGTAAAACTTAATAGTACTTTTCAATTTCAACACCAGCAAATTTCCTTTTGTCATAAATTTTGTCGCAGAGCCCGCGAACGCAGGCTATGCTTAATGGCGCATAGTCCCGTTCAGACATATTTGTACATTTAATTTTCTAATATTATACGAGTACTTTTCTATATTTTAGTAAATTATTGTAATACTAAACAAAAAGTAACAAATAATGGGGAGTTAACTTGACAAGTTGACACTTCAAGACTTCAAGTTGTTGACAGTTGACACTAGAAACATTTGTATTTAATCTAGCACCAACATTCGTGTGAATAAGGCCTTGCATAAACTTATAAATTGTCTAAGCGAATTACTATGTTCTTTAAAAAATAATTTGTTTCTCTCTGGCCGTTGTATTTTTTTTAAACATTTAAAAATAGTCTCTTGTTAATCTGTGGTTTTCTTCTCAGTGATTGTGATTGTGATTCTGAATTTATTGTTGTTTTTATCATTAAATTAGAAATGTACCTGTTTCTTTAATTGCGTCTGACGATGTTTGATCAGCGGTAATGTGAATGTTGAGATACTATCCAAAGTCATTAGGTTCGAAATTGCGGTGTATTTAGACGATTATTGTGCTGGTATATAATTAAACGCTTACAATATGCCTGTGACACTAGTGGACAGGTTGCCCTTGCCGAATCTCAAGGCTTACACGACGGGAAGTGTTTTGCTGCTATCGGTAGCCGTTTATTATGCGATGAGTGTGACGAGTGATCCAAACTGGCGCGTCAATGCAACGCTGCAACGGCAGGAAGGAATGGTCGCGGAGACTAATGGCGAGAATTTGAAAACTGTGCAGTCTGCTGCTGCAGGGGTGTTGAGTGGCGGCACCAACGGCACCAGGAACTTTACTGAGCAGTTTGTGGAGGTGGTCACGTTCATGATGCAGGAGCCGCTATGTATGTGGGTGAGTACTTTTATCAGGCTCTTTTTCCAATTACTACTACGATATTGGTATCTAGATTGACTGTGATAAAAAGTAGCCTATATCATTCTAAACAGTGAATAGTAATGATAAAGGCAGGCTATATATATTGTTCTATGATACAGTGGTCACCCTACTTGTGCTAATAATATGTACTTGGTGGTAAACCAGATATTGACACAGGGGGAAGACATTCTATTGGTACCTGAACAGGATGTTCTTCATCCCCATACTTCATACTTCATCACCAGTTCCTATTATCAATTATGTATAAAATTTACTTAAACATTACAGCTTTTACAGTATACATGAAACTTGCTTTAAAACTTGAAATATTAGTAAGGTTGTAATTATATTGTTTTTTGTGTGATGTGTGTGTGTGTGTGTGAAATATGTGTGAATGTGACTATTTACTTTTAAAATTTAACTTAGGTGTTTTTTAATTGAAATAACAGAGTATTGTTTTTATTTCTGTTCTTCACAATAAACAAAATAAATAATTAAATATTTTTTTATATAATCTAAATGGAAATAGTAATAATCATTATATAAATAAACTTAATATAAGCACTTATGAATTTTATTATAAACTATAAGCTCTTTAAACAATATACATATTTTTTAATATAATGAATCTACTAAAAATTGAAGAAATATATTAAAGAAATACTGTAAAGATGATTCTAATATATTAATAATTCCTAAATAATTTCTTGAATTTACTTAAATACAACAATTTTCATTTTATCATATCAACAATTAGAGTGTGCCAAAGACTCATATTTAAATGATTGAATATGAGTCTTTGGCACACAAAAATTATATTAATAAAACACAAACACAAAAATAAAACATTATTAATTATATTAATAATGTTTTATTATTATCTGTACATTGAAAGTAATTAAAAAACTTATTGAAGGCTTTACAATACAGACACTTTAGGCCACATAATGGAAATTGAAATAAAGACTGCTTGAAGTTTTGGAGACTGATTATATTTTTATGTACTTTTAAATTCGATGCTGTCATTATTTATACATATAATTAGTAAAGATCACAGGATCTTACCACATTTTATATTTGTTTGTTGAGTTCCCGATATTTCAGCAGTGTTTCAACCACCACCATATAAAATATGGTAAGATCCCATGATTTTTACTAATTATACCTATAATTATATTTTTATTCATTTATTTGTTTGTGAGGCTTAATTTGGATGTGGTTTTCATTAATGTAATATTCCCACAATTAGCTAAGCATACATTTTAAATAATAGCCGTGTTTAAAATATACTGTGTTCTGTATTAATCAATTTACAAACTAAAAAAATATGATCTATTGTTATTCCATATATTTATCTATATATTTAACTTATCTAGCTTATCCTATATATTTAACACTTACAATGCTATGTATAGGTGTAATTTAAATTATTAATTCATTTATAATTAACAAACAATGATTGCAATAATTATAGTTACTAGTTTTAGTGAAACACAGCTGCATAGCAATTAATATTAAATAGAGAGATCAAAATATCGTCAGCTTAATAAGTGTGAATGATGGTATTCTATTGGATTTACATGATATTAACAAGATAACATTACAAATAAAACAATACTTACAGTTGATAATCACTTTTCTTATATTTTCAACAAAGTTTTACAAAATCTTTTCCACATGTCTGTTTGTAATGTTTGCTGCTATCTTAATAATCTGATCGCCTTTGTAGAATAGAAAACTGGAAGGTAGTTCCCAGTTTTAAATAGTCAATACACTTACTTTTATTTTAACAATGCAATTAGATAAAATGGTTATTAAATATGATAAAGAAGCGTACTGCCCTCAGGCAATTAGAATAGAACAAATATAGTAATCATGAATAACTGTTGATGACAATATTTTTTTTTGGTAGTTAGGTATCTGCAATCAGTACTGGTACTATAAGCAGGTGAGTTGTTGGTAGTGGGCGTGGGAGGATCTCTATCCTTTGACAAGGTCCCCATGTTTCAGCTAGCTAGAAATCTTTCATCCAGCTCAAGGATATTTGATCTTTTTAATCTTTTTGCTGGGTTGTTAACTAGAAGTTTCTGAGCTAATTCGTTTGGGTGAATAGCAAGGCCTTATATTTGATACTTGATTTCCCAATTTCTTCCCTGACTGTGGCGATGGTGGCAAAGTGGTGAACCTCAGAGTTGGTGATGAACCATAGAGCTTTTAAGATGCACTTTAGGATGCAGTTTTGACATCTTTGGAGAATTTCGATATTCGAGTGACAGGCGCTGATGACAATATGTTGCACAATATTTTCTATCTAATACAGAACTTAAAGCTGATTAATGTTAATTAGACAACAAAACACCAGATGTGTATATTCAGTAGCAAATAAAGGTGACTATCATTATACTAATTACAGAAGAACATATACACATCTTTAAAATCCCATTACAAAAGACATTAGTGGTAATCTGTTCTTAGAAACGTGAGACAAAAATAATATTGGTCATATTAAAGTTAATACACCTATACTGCTAATAACCAAGTATAATTCTGCTATAAAAATTTATGTGGTTGTTTGTTTTGTTATTTAATATTATACTAGCTGTGCCCGCAGTTTCACCTTTTCTTATTGGTAGTTGGGTATCTGCAATTAGTACTGGTACTATAAGGAGTTGTTGGTAGTAGGAGTGGGAGGATCTCTATCCTTTGACAAGGTCCCCATGTTTCAGCTAGCTAGAAATCTTTCATCCAGCTCAAGAATATTTGATCTTTTTAATCTTTTTGCTGGGTTGTTGGCTAAAAGCTTCTGTGCTAGTTCGTTTGGGTGAATAGAGTTTCACCTGTGTGAAATTTATAGCCTATATATTCTGATGTATAAGCTATATTACTGTAAAGTTTCATTGTGAGTATCGATGGATGTTTGTTAAAGAGTAACAAACATCCATCCATACTCATAAACTTTCGCGTTTATAATATTAATAAGATTATAGAATAGAATAGAATAGAAAATCATTTATTCAAATAAACTTAATTTAAGCACTTTTGAATAGTCATAACAATTTGTTTTTTATCTACCACTCGTTCGGAAAGCTGTCTCATCACAAGAAGAACGAGCAAGAAACTTGTGTGTTGCTTTTTTAAATAATCCTTGTAAGTTTACATTTACAAGTCGAAACGTGTGAATACAAACTACCAACAAGCACTAATTTTTGGGTCAAATATAAATATGCAATAAGATTAAATCAGTTGTAGTGATAAGAGCAGACCAGTCCCTACAAGCAGCACTCGTTTCACGAGTATGACAGATGAGCCAGCCATCACTGCGCTCGACCATATTTTAGGGAGCCCAATGACCCGGCCGACCACGCCGCCACATGTCTGGACATTTTAGTGAGCATGACCACTCATTCCACACGACCACGTCACAGCTACAAAAATTACTATATGGTAGTTACAGTATTCGCACTTTACATACGGATGCATGCGGCAATCAATATAAAAGCCGCTACGCTATCATATATCAAGAAAGCAGTATGCTAGCAACTCTTCTGGCTTCACATTACAAATCTTTGATCTTTCTCTACTTATTCTATACTATAACACTCATGTATTATTATACAAAACTTCCTCTTTAATGACTCTATCTATTGTTGAAAACTGCATAAAAATCCTTTACAAATTTAATAGATATCAGCAAATAAACATGGTGGTGAATTTGTTTTATACTATGTAAAGATGTAATGTCTTTTGTCATCTATACATATAAATAAAATTGGGAGTGTCTGTTTGTAATATTGAAATAACTGTTTTTTACTACATGCCTATGAATATAAATATGGTACATACACCAAACTTACTCCTTATTATGCCAGCAATAAAAAATGTTTACAATTTTTGTCTGTCTGTCTGTTTGTTCCGGGTAATCTCTGAAATGGCTGGACCGATTTTGACGGGACTTTTATTGACAGGTAGCTAACATAATAAGGAGTAACTTAGACTACTTTTATTTTAGAAAAATCTCTAATTAACTTTTTGTTAAATTCCACGCGACGAAGTCGCGAGTACAGCTAGTTATAAGTTATAGGTATATTATAAAGTTTTTGAACCTATAATAATTATAAAGTCAATTTTGATTACCTAAGTTGAAACTGCTTAATGGATTTTATTGCTGTGTTTATGTCTTCATAATTGAGATACTTTGTCACTGTGAATGTTAAGATATAAAATAAATCAACACTAATTATATATGATATTTAATATAATAAAAAAATATAAAAATTATATATGATATACCGGTAAAATTTAAAAATTCTTTAAGGAAAATTATATTAAGTAGAGAGACAGCCCTTGGATAGCGGCGACAAATCTCGACATAAAATGTGAATTTTTGTATAGGTACACATGCATTGCATGCATGTCACGTGTGTATTCGTATGTATATTATTATTATTATTTATGTATTAATTTGTTAAATTTTTATTTGATTATGTTATGGTATGGTTATCTAGCACGTGTGACCAGGTACGCCTGCGTAGGTACTAACTGAAAACCAGCGCTGGACGCCCATCAGTCCAGGAATAGCTGAGTTTGTACCTATTGCCAATCATGTTAAATATGTATAAATGTGTAACTATATAACTATACTGATATTGGCAATAACAAATTTATTATTATTATTATTAATACCTGTAAATGTGTAACTATATAACTATACTGATATTGGCAATAACAAATTTATTATTATTATTATTAATACCTGTACTACCTTTGTAGTACAGGTAATAAAAGAGCAAAACTACAAGTCCCTGCATGATGCAGTCCACATTATCTAGAACATTTTTTATACTATGACATTGGTAATCAGGGAAAGCACCACATTTGATGGTAAATGGTTACAGCTACTTCCAACGCATTTATTGTCGACGACCTCGGTGGTCTAGCGGTCTAGCACACCGCTTTACGTCCGATGGTTGCAGGTA